AAGCATTATCAGCAAAGTGGTCTGTCCATGCTACACCACCTTTAAATTGTATATATAATTTTATAAATGATATAAAATCTGTTTCTAGTCCATGAAAAAACACACTAGCATCGCACACTGCAATCTTGAAAGGATTTAAAATATGTGATTTCTGCTGGTACCTACTGTATTGGGTTTTATATAAAGCTTTTTTCAATAAGGTAAATTGTTACATGACAAACTCATCTTCCACCATTATCATCTGCTGTTTGTGTTTAACAACAGGAGTCCTGGTCTAACAAAACTGTTGTAATGGCTGTACAAATTACTCAGCTGAAAGCTTTTCACCAAACCAAACAGTATTAATCAGCAGTTCTTATGAAGGTGCTAATTAAAAACAATTTTCTTCCTCAGTTTGCAATACTAAGCCATCTTCATTTGCACAGTTTCCAATATACAGCTACTGTATACACTCACACTTCAGGGCCTCTATTAACTATTGAATCTCCTATTACCTATTTTATTACATTCCCGTCTCCCAACTTTAGAAGCTTGTTGACATTTTAGAAGTCACAGCATGATATGTTTAATCATTTTAAAAGTACATTAATTGAAGTCAGAGTCAGGAAAAAAATAACAGGTCTTTCAGCATGCAGGCTCTGGCAGGGCACAACACAGGCTGAACGTTCAAATCTTTTTCTGCTAGCATAACCCATCACCCGGGGCAACATTTTACCGCTGAAGGGGGACGGTGCCTATTGCAGAGAACCATTAGTTTTTTGCTTGTTTTTAATAAGCAATCTTCCACAAGTGACACTGTGTGGGTTATCTGCAGGGAAATGCATCCAAAATAAAGGATACTTTCTGTTACCGAAGGCCTATCGCTCCTTCGCTGTCGTCAGCCACGACAGCTCTTTGTTTTTGGGGGCTTGGCATCTGTTGAGTTTAACCCAGATTCGAGGGTCAAGATGTTTCTTCTCAGGCTGTGGAATGCCATCTGGACTACTGCTGCGTGCATCTTCCCTCTACTTTCCACACACTTTATACACAAGAAGACAATGAAGATCCAATGCCGCTGTTGGACAGAGATGGAAAATACTCAGCTTTTACCCAGCCACAACAATATGCGGGGCTTTTTGGCAGCAAGCCAGCTGCTGACTAAGCAAGGAGCCTTAATAGGCTAAACCCTTTAAAAATGGGAAAGAAAAGTTAGGTTTGTTACATTCAGCTGTTTGAACAGAGTCCACAGGTCGGAGAGGGAGACGGATCTTGCGGAGGAGATGCTGCACTTCGTCTCACAAAATCTGGGGTCACTTCTAGAGTGTATTGGCTGCTTTCTAAATGGCTATAGGCAAATGAGACAGCAATACTGTCTGTGCCTCCCTCATACGGGGAATGGGCATGATTTGGGAGGGTCCCCCCCTTTACTTAAACATTCAGCTGCAAATTCACTAAGTCATGTATTGGCTTGCTTTCAGCTCTATGGGGTTTCGCATCAGGGTGCCCTCATTTTGGCTGGGTTAAGGTAAGTGCTGTTGCAGTGCAGATGAGAAGAATATTGAAAAATCAGCTTTTAAAACCATCTTTCGAAAGATGCTGGTGTGCTTACGACCAATGTTAGGCTACTGATTCGTTGCAGCGAAGGCATGACAAACGGTCTTAATCAGACTCAGGAGAATCTAAAAAGTGAATAAAAAGAGAGAAAGCAACAAAATTGGCTCTTTCTGAGGAAACAACACGGCATGACCACGCTGCGCAGAAAACGTTTTAGATATAACTGGCGGTGCACGCTGTCCTAGCACCTTCCACCAGCGTCTCAAAACATTTCACAAGAGTTAAAGGAATTCGCAGTTTGACATCACTGTTCATTCCCTGATTTAAAGAAGAAGAAAACCACACATAAAGAAATCCAGGCAAAACTATGCATTTATAATTTGCCCTGGGACAAGACAGGGACCTGGTTACTTCCCCTCTTGCATTCGGGAGAGCGGGTGAAAGACGGTAATAAAACGCTGCTCTGTTTGACTCGCAATGTGTTGCTGCCTTTTCCCTCTTCCCCCCGCCATATCAGCCGTGCCACCTGCCATATCAAGAGGTGGATCAAAAGCTCCACCCACTGCATCCTCTTTTGTTCAGGGAACAGCGAAGGAGAGTTGTAATGGAGATATAATGCTTGATAAACCGTATGCAGCCAGGCTCAAGATGTAAGGATGCTTTTCATGGGGGGAACAATTTTAATCCCGCTTCCCTCCTCATGCAAACACATAGCCATTAAGCCACAGGCAAAATGTGAATGACTTTTCTAATAAGGATTTTGCAGCTGGACTGGTACCTGGGGTAGTAAGTTCTCCTGCCTCATCTCATACTCTTAAGACATTTTTCAAATCAAAGACATTTCAAATCAAACTTATTTCCCAAATGAAAAGATTTGTCCCACTGTTCCAGAACGCTATCAGATAGGACTAGTTTGTAATTTTTAAGAAAGCCTTTGCCAGATCTCATAGCAGGAAATGGAATCTTTTTTTCTTGGTCTTTTATACTCTGAAGATCACAACTCACTGCCGGTGGCACCAGCTGCATTAGGGCTGTGCCCAGGGGAATGGATGTCCACAAGAAGATCATTTCTCTCTGCCTTTTTTCTCTGAGAAAGGAGGAAGACACAACGTTGCTTTAAAAAATACCACCATACGTGAAGGAAAACTTGCATCAGCCTAACATTTCCATTCTCGGTGAAGAGAGCATAGCTCTCGCACGGTGTCATTCATCTTTGAAGTGCTTTGTAAACACAAAGTAATTAAGCTCAATATTCTGTTACAGAACACAGTAAACTATATCATTAAAAATATACCAAGTATCAGAGACTAGTTAAAGTACATCACATGAAAGGCTCTGATACATTTTATAAGCATGATTTGATAAACTGCCTAACTTTTGCTTGGCAAAGATATTTGATGAAATCATAAACACTATATTTTTATTAAAATTGAAGAACTCAGAAACAATTCATCAAGTCCCTACCAACAGAAGGGACTCTGAGAGATGTCTCTAAAAAAGAACACTTTTAGTGACTCATATATCAGTAAATCCTGCATTTGTGACTTTTCAATACCCATTTTAAAACAAAAAATCAAGAAGAGAGCTTGTTTATATACCTCTAAAAATATCTACATGGACCAAACCTGCAAGCACTTATGTAGATGAGCAACTTTACTGCCTGTGGAGCTCCAATGTGAGTTTGCAGGAGAAGCCTAAATACATCTTTGGTAAACAAGCCATCAATTACACACTTTAGGGATGGCAGCACCTGTGCAAAGCCTTCAACTCAAACGACAGACACTAAAGAAATAAAAAGCAATTATCAGCTACTAATTTGAGTAAAACTGTTTTCTTCTTAGAGCTAAAAACACAATTTTCAGTGACACTGGTTCTATTTTTGGCATCTAACAATCTTTATTAGATTATTGTACAGCAGACATTCAAGCCCTCTCAAAAATAAAAGGTTCACAAATTTTAATATTTCACTATTTTTCACACTCCTTTGTTGATTATAAAGATTTCCTTGTACATGTTTTTAAAGAAAACAAAGGCACTGCTGTGTGGGACAAACAAAACAAAACTAATTAAACTAAAGCCACCTTCACAGCAATTTTAAATTACTCCTAAATGCTTTTGATTTCTTACTAGACAAGTATCTTCCAACAAGAGTTTGAATATGAAACTCATACCAGCTATAGGGGAGACATACTACTCAGTTCTAGGATAAATGGTTGGTTTGCATTGCCCCTGGTCTTTATCTAACACTGAGAATAGGCTGCTTTTTATCAAAAGAGGAATAAATTGCTGTTATTGTGATGTTAGCCCATCACTTGGCATTGCAATTCAAGTTTTTGTGAGAAAGAAATGTATGATCTAACTGCGACTTGACCTATGCCTTCTGAGATCCATCTAGGTGCTCTAATGGAGCATAAAAAGTATTGAATACAAGGACATGCAAACCGATAGTGAAGAAATTTGTTTGAGAAGAAGAGCGAAGAGAAAGGGACTTTCATGAGTTCGTGGCTTACATGCTGCCCAATTTGTTAAATATGGAAGAACTCTTATTGCCGAACTGCAGTTCTTTTAATTAATGTATTTCAGCATGATCCTCTACACTTCCTCGCATCTAGTACCTCCCTCTCTCAGTCATGCTCTCTGCCTCTCTCTTTTTTCATCATTTAAAAAGTGTTGTGGTTTCAGAGACTGTACAGGATTCTTTAATGATCTGGATTGTTTTTCTGAGAAGTCATTCAAATGGTCTATTAAACTGTTAAGAAAATAAGAAATTGCTCCTGTTTCTTTGCAGGATTTTTGTCTTTCCCAGTACAAGAAAAGTCACATTAAATGTTTACCAAATACTTGGGCCACAATATATCACAATATAAACTAATTCGAGGGAGATAGTTTGATTACACTGCAAAACCCTTCAGTTGTTACAGTGTTTCTCAGAATTTATCAGAAAAGGATGTATTTTTTTAAAAGCGATTTCTAGGATAGTAGCATTTAGATTTTAGTCCTGATAAAGGCTCACTTTCCATTCATAGTCAGAACCTAAATGTGCTCTTCTTGTACCTAAACAGATAATAAGCACTCAGCACACTCCCCCTTCTTGACACAACACACTGAGACTAATCACACATAATTGGAGAGGAGGAGCAGAGGGGCTGGGCAGGCTATTGTGTCCAAAGGACAAATGGTCAGTTTAGGAGGCTTTTGTCTGATGGATAATTTCTTATACATCTACAGGAGGAAAAGTCCTGCTGGAAAAAAACATATATACACACATATATAAAAAAAGCCTTCAACACTGAAGCAAATGAGGACATTTCAATCATGGATAGAAAAATCAACAGTGGAATTAAAAAAAAAAAAAAAAAAGGCAGAAAAATCCGAGCATTCAATAGGTGCACTTTTAAAAGATCTTAAGACAATTATTTCCTTA